AAATATACTCGTTGGTCGGAACACATTATTTGGCGCCAGCAACCGCAGAACTGGCAACAGACACGCTTACAAACACACCGAATCACTCATCCACACGCATACACGCGGACGCGCGCACACCGGCGCACTCGCACTATATCTCCCTCGCTCGCACGCCTACACACACTCACGCACTCACTCACACACACACACTCACACTCACACACACACACACACAACTAGACGCACACAGTCGATATCGATTTATCGATAAAAGTCTAGAAGTGCGCCAACACTCTCGCCATTAAAGTCCGGACGACGAGTCAAAATGATCACAGTTTGAACCATAGGAAGGCGCAGCTTTGACTGGCTACGCCGCGCCACACGCCGAGCGTTATGGCGCGCTTATTCTATTGTTTGCTTCTTCTTCTTCATCTTCACAAAAACAACAACTTTTTTGGCACTTTTCCCCCAGGGCGTCCGTTTTTCAGGTCGACGTGACGAACGCTCGCTGCCGGAGGGCGTTGCCGGGGGCGTTGGGGTCCACGTAGGAGGCCTGCATCAGCTTGCCGGGGTCCTCGTACAGCCCGTTAGCCGTCGTGCCGTCGGTCAGCTTGGCCGTCGTCACAGCCGCCGCGGCCGCCGCGACAGCAGCAGCGGCAGCAGCCTTGTCGGCGGCCGCATCGGTTATCCTCTTCTCCTCGGCAGCCTGCACAACAAAAATAAAAAATAAATAAATCCGGCGTCAATCAAAGCTGTGTGTGTGTGTGTGGTATATTATCAAGTGGTTCGCGCGTGCGGATAACGCGCGGCTGGAGCTGTCCGGAGCGCCGCGGCGCGGTTGCGCAAGGCTCGTGACGGCGGCAGGTGTCACACCTCCTCGCGGTGTGTGTGAGGTGAGGATGACAGATGAGTGAGTGAGATTGCCCCCCCAAAGTAGTTCCTTCCGCGTCGTCAAGGGGGGAGTTTAAGAAGGTGGGGGCTATTATGCACGGTTTCGCCTCTGTTATTGCCGACCGCGGCCGGGCGCGCGCGCGCCTCCTGTCCTGTCCGTGCAGCGCGGCGGCGGCGCCCTTGACGGCCTGCGCTGCACGCGAAGCGAAGCGCAGCGCCACTGCACCCGCGCGCGCGAGGGGGCTGGCCTGGTCCAACCAACCGCCGCGCGGCCCAGGCAGGCTGTGTTTAACGCGGATTAAATGGCGATTATGAACGCCGCGAGGTCGCGCGAAGGGCGCGGCGGGGCGGGGCAGAAAACTTTGATATGCATCGTATACTAGCAGCAGCGCGGCCAGAAGCGCCGCGCACCTGCTATATAGGCGGTGGCAGTCGACGGCAAGGAGGGGTGTCACTCGAAAGACATCGTGTAACACCGTACTACTAAACGACAAGGATTACCTAGAATTTCCCGGGACGTGAAAAAGGGTGAAATAGTAAAATTTCGTTTTCACTTGTTACAGTATTATTTCGCATACTCTAGGCCATTGAATGGACACGCAGGTATTTCTAAGGCATTGCCAGAGTGACTAACACATCTGTATACACCGTATTCCCTGCTCACAGTTGGACACCCCTCGGTCGACGGGAAGGGCGACTCGCCAGGGGGCGGACACGCATACCGTATCTGTTTCAATAATAGCACGTCGCTCTTTTCTTTTCTTTTACTGGCACGTACGAAGAAATAAAACCACGATAAGAAACTGGACCATCATTAGGGGGAGCGGCGCGCGCGGGGCGGGCGGGCGCCCTTCGCCAACTCGTCCGTTTTACGACGGAGGACTCATCGAGTCGGGGCCGGCCGGGCTCGGGGCTCGGGGTGTGGGGGGCGGGGCCTCTCAAGGCTGTGCGAGGGGCGTACAGCAGGTGTCGTCAACCTACCTTCCGACGGGCCTCCTTCTTGTTGTACTCCTGCTTGTAGTAGTCGGAGAAGAGGAAGTAGAACATGACGGCGTGCATGCCGATCCAGCCGCAGAATGCCTTGGGGTAGTCGCAGTCGATGAAGAAGAGCTGGAAGGCGTGGACGAACACGAGCACGAACTGGATCTGCGGGAGGGACAAGAAGACGGACGCACATGAGGTGGTATTCGTCAGAATATGTGGCAGAGGGCGACGCCCGCACATGTCGCTGAATTCCCGTCTTACCATCTGCAGGACGGTGATGTACTTCTTCCACCAGAGGTACTTCTGCACCTGGGGGCCGAGGGCGGCCAGCATGTAGTACGAGTACATTACGATGTGGACGAACGTGTTGAGGAAGCCGAAGAAGGTGCTGTGGCCGCCGGGGGTGAACTTGACGCCGAACCACACGCTCATGGGCATGATGCCGTGGTGGATGACGTGCAGCTTGGAGATGTGCTTGTCCTTCTTGCGCAGCACGAAGAAGATCTGTGCGGCAGGAGACACGCGTCAGTGGGCAGGCGGGCAAGACGGGCAGTGCCAGTGCAGGTAAGACAGTTTCAGTGGAGTTAAAAGAAAACGAGAACTGCTAAACGTTTTCAAAGATGGCAAAAGAAAACATAATTGAATATTTATGATGATATTTTTTCATTAAGATGGAACATTTTACCCCCTTGCGTCATAATTTCTTCTAAAGAAATACCTTTCATTCCCCAGGGGAGACTAGCGTGGCATGGGTAAAAGCACTTACCGTGTCGAAGAATTCGGTGAACTTGGAGATGAAGTACCACCAGCATCCGGACGCCACGTACATGGCCTCGGGGGAGCGCGAGTAGTCTACGGGTTCACATTGCAGGTTGTAGCCGTTTAGCCAGCCGCCCACGCAGGCCTGAAAACAAAGACATCGACGCAGGGTTATTGAGTGTACAGTCCAATCAAACCGATACCTAATTTTTGATCTCGATTGCAATTATACGATGGGCAAAAACACTTCACTAACGCTAGTTACCACACTCCCCCACCTTGCTCGCCCTACGCATTCGCATACCCTTCGCCCACCCTTAACCCAGCCGTCACCCAAACTTCGCCCACCCCTCACCCA